TTTTCAGCAGAATTTTCAGTTTCTTCACCGCCATACAACTTTTTGCAACTTTTCAACTTTTTCAGCTTTTTTCAGCAGACATCTTCAGCGTTAAGTCATCCACACAGCATTTTTGCAGGAAATGCAAATTTTTCTAGTTTTAATTTCAATTCAGGTTAGATTTTTTTTTTGTGCGCAATGCAGATTTTCTGTGAGCAGAGACCGTGCCAGCAGTGTGCGATTGCACACGCGTGCAGCTTAGAGGGAAGATTGCTCCGCAGACAAGGGAATCTGCCAGTAGCCCTTGTTTAAATCCAGCATCGTGAAAAAACAAGCAGTGCCCAACCAGTCCAGGAGTTTGCGACTTGGGGCATTGGGTACGCATCGAACGTGACATCTCATTCACCTTGCAGTAGTCCACACAGAACCGTATAGACCCATCTTTCCTCACCACAAGAACTATGGGCATATATCTTATAGATCATATAACTATGGGGCTACTTTTTAGCCCCAGCATATTGTTCAATTCTGCAATTCAGCAATTTGTCTTTTATGCTCCAGGAGCCTGTAGGGCCATGAACCCACTGTCACGCCAGGCTGTGTCTCAATATGGTGCTCTATTAGAGACGTTCGGCCGGGCAGGGGGAGAACACATCAGCAAAGCGCTGTTGCAATGCAGCAACATCTGCTCTCTGGGCCTGTGTGAGTGGTCATCACAATGGAGGGAGGCGGGGATGGTGGAATTTGGCACCTCCGGCCCCAACTCATCTCTCTCCTTAACCAGGCTCAACAGAGCAGTGGTTTCAGCCTCCCTCCACGCTTTAAGGAGGTTGAGGTGGTAAATTTGTGTCGCTCCTTTCCTGTCCGACTGGTCAATCTCATAGTCAAAGTCCCCCACTCGCTGTGTGACCACAAAGGGCCCTCGCCACTTGGCGAGTAATTTAGAGCTGGAGAATGGTAGTAATACAAACACTTTGTCTCCTGGTGAAAATTGCCTGAGCCTAGCCCCTCTGTTGTACAAGCTTTGCTGATGTTGCTGGGCCTGGAGCAAATTCTCCCGTGATAACCGCCCCAACCTGTGCAGCTTTGCTCTCAGGCCCAGCACGTATTGAATTTTATTCTTTGCGGGGCTCGACCCTTCCTCCCAGTTGTCTTTAATCAAGTTGAGCACCCCTTGCCATACAGTAACTCATAGGGAGAAAACCCCATGGAGGCCTGGGGTCTAGCCACCGATCCCAATTTCGTTAATCCTCGTGAATAAACTTAAGAATCATGGACTTTAAAGTCTTATTCAGCCGCTCCACCAGCCCATCAGTCTGAGGGTATTAGACACTGGTCCGAATAGATTTAATGTCCAGTAATTTGTATAGCTCCCTCAGAGTGCAAGACATGAACGACATGGCCTAGTCAGTCAGCATTTCTTTCGGAATACCGACTCGCAAGATGACCTGAAACAATGCCTGAGCCACACTCTTCACTGAAATGGTGTGCAGCGGTACTGCTTACGGGTATCATGTTGCATAAACCACCAGCACCAACACAAAGCGATAGCCGCGTGCACTTCGGTGGAATGGCCCGAAGATATCCATACCAATGCGCTCAAACGACATCTCAACAGCGGTAATGGGCGCAATGGCTCCTTTGGAATGGCTGGGTGGTTAACCAGCTGGCATTCTGGGCACCACCAGCGGCGCACATCGGCCCAAATACCCGGCCAATAGAATTAGGCCATTATGCGCTGCAGAGTTTTCTTGCATCCTAAATGCCCTGCCATGGGGTTCGAATAAGCCTGCTGGAAAATGTTTCCCGGCAGCACCAACAACTGGGTGCAGATCTCATTCGTGCGAGTGTCAAGACTCACTTGATAAAGCCGATCGTTCCGTAACTGGAAATGGGTGTAAGTCCGCGCGGCTTCAGGGTGCACCAGCAGACCATCAATATCTATCACCTGGTCATAGGCTGAGCATAGGGTGTCACCCCGAGACTGCTCTAGTGAAAAATCTTCTGTGGGGTGCATAACCGTGGCAGTGGGGCCTCTGTAGAGGTTCCCGCCACCTCCTCCCCCCCAGAGTCAGTATCAGTTGACCCAGTGTCACTGCTAAGTGCCGGGCAAACATTACACAAATTTAGTGGTCGCGATTGCACCCAGTTTATTGCCCCAGTAAGCTGTGGAACTGTGCCCAAAATGGGATGCGACATGCCAAAGCCCTCTCCGTCCTGCCGATCTCGCCTCCCCTCCCCTGAGCTGCAGACAACAGCAGCTGACGCTCTGAGGGCCCCCCTGCCTGCGGTACCGGCCGCTCCCCCGCTGACATCTGACTAGCCCGAAATCGCCTCCGGTAGTCCTCCGGGGTGAACCCAAGCAGATCCAATACTGCCCTGCAGACATCCGGGCCCAGGACGCCGGGGGCAGGCTGGGCCACCATCTGTGCCTTCCCTGACAGCAGCGGCAGAAGCCTGGAAGCCCACTCCTCCTCAGGCCACTGGCAGGCAAGTGCTGTGGCCTGGAATGTCTGCATAAAGATTAGCGGGTCCAAGGTGACATGGTTGAAGTCCCCCAAGATTGCAATGAAGGCACTCAGGTGCTAAGTCTGTAACTGGGCTATGGCAGAGTGGATAGTGTCACACGCAGCTGTGGGGTTGGCAGAGGGAGGAATGTAAACAGGCTCCAAGTTCAGAAGGGTAAATTCCCTGTGCAAATAATACGACCTGAGTCCAACAGCGCACAGTTCAATGTCCGGACAACAAATCTGTTCTTTGATTGTTATGTGAGCAGGGTTACCCGCTCGCTGCACTTTCCCGGTCAGCCCAAACAGTGTGGAAGCCATTCACGGATGCGTTGTCATCGGGAATATCCTGGTGCTTCCCTGATTCAATGAAACACATCAAGCTACACTCCCAGTACTCCCTCTGATTCTGTGCTAGCGCTTTCAGGTCATCCATCTGGTTTGCTAGTGACCGAACACTCCTGATTATAATAGGTGGCAGACACGGTTTGCATCTTCTTCTCTCTTTGTTCCTCTGCTGTCTTGCCATCTCCTTCTTTCTCCTCTTCTGTCCTCCACCTCTGTATCCTCAGTGTGTTTTCCTCCAGATTTCAGCTGGTACTTCCATGGGTCTGAGGACTGATAAGCTGGCCGGCATCAGGTCGATCAGCTGATCTCTGGAGTAAACCATCCGTGCGGTGTGTAGGAGCTGTGCCGCGGTCCCATTCCTCAATAAAAGTAACACTTGCGCGGTCACAAGCAGAACCAAAACTCTCGCAATTCACATGATTGAAAGGAAAGCTATTAGAACAGACGAACACTCTAAGTACAAAGTAAAGGACAAAGAAATAAGTAAGAAAAGGTTAAACTAAAGAAAAAAAACAGAAGGAACTGTACTGCATGCATGGTTGACGCATGCACACTAAATTTACACATTTATGTCTTCTTTAATGAGGCAGGTTTTTACCTTGCAGTAGGAAGTGACTGTTGCTGTGAAGTGGGACTGTATAAATAAAGTTTGAAGTTAAAATGTTGCACCATATTGACAACAGCAGGACAAACACAGAGTGGAGAGAAGTTGTTTATTAACATCCCAAGTCAAAGCTTAAAAGAAGATTTTAAAGTCTTTGATTGGAACCTCTTGGGTACATTGTTCCTTTTAGTCTGGGAGTCACATGGTGCCTCTTTGATACAGGAATTGTGTTACTGTTCCTTTAACAGTTCATTCTAACCACCACCTCCTCTCCGTCTGTCAGATGAGTTCCAGGGTTTGGAGTCTCTCCGTATCTGAATGTCTGCTTGATGGCCCGGAAGTAGAAGCGGGTCCAGCCCTCTCTGGTGGAGTCCTCTTCTCCTAAAGGGACTCCTCGGCACTCCAACCTCAGTTCTGTGTCGTCTCCTCGATCATCCAGCTCTAGGCTCACGGAGGCATAGTGGTCTAGAGAAAGTCCAGAGAGGTTAGTGTCCCTAGAAGCAACAGCAGAAAAAAATGAATGCATCACATCCTAATAGGAAGACTCACTGCTGGGCCATGTCCTGAACTGCCACTTCATGTCAATCCTCTTGTCTGGCACCTGTGGGGAGGGGCACAGTCTGGTTTACCATTTCGTCATGGTACAGCTTTGCTAATGTGTGAGTGATTGGGCAGCTGTGACCTCACCAGCTGTGTGAACTGTCCACTGATGCTCCCATCCAGCAACTGGAATTTCCCCCCACAGCAACTGTCCACCACCGCTGATGAGCGTGTGAATACCTGCATGAACTGCACAGAGATGTCAGTGGTATAAAAATAACCTTACTGGTCTGAGATTGGCCTAATTTCAGGTAATGCCGGGGCCCAGTTCTGATCACCTGGTTAATTGTATTTGTGTTTTCATTGTCTGGTTTCAGTCAGTTTCAGGCCTAGAATTCATACTGAACTCGTAAAAGTCTGACACCAATTTTAAGCCTAGATTTGACCTGATTTTAATCAAACAAAGTTTTTCTTGCTGGCTGGTCATGACTGATTTAGATAAATTGAACAGGGTCTTTCATAGGGCGTCATTTATAACCTGTTCTTGTCTTTCTTGGTCTGTTCTGATTTCGTCTGGTCCTTCCTAGTCTGTTCGAGTACCTCTTGGCTGATGAATGTCCTGTAGAGTTCATGAGCGTTGGTCTGGAATGTTTCTTTCAGATCGAAACTGCAGGTTTGGTTACGATCACCTGTGGGACAGGGGGCGGTACTGGAGGAGCACTTGGGGGCGGGGATAATCTGCAGGACAACACAGAAAAATCAAAGGTCAGCACTTCAACAGTGAGGCTGAACAGGAGCTAAGTCAGGACAGGAGGAGCATCCTACTTGGGTTTTATTGGTCTTAACCTCATTCTTCTTGGTCGACACAGATGAATGCTGCTTCAGTGCGTTGGTGGTGGGAAGAATCATTCCCTGACCAAACTCTGTGGGATCAGAGGTCACAGTTACCCCAGGGGTCATCTCCCTGGCTGATCTTTACAGGTGTAAATTTCATAATGAAGCGTTTTAGGGACTGTCTCAGAGTAATGGCTTGCTGAGGGCTGAAACTACAAACGTTCCAACCACCAGGAGAAGCTCAAAACAGAGTACTAAAGCTCCACTTAGATTTAACGTGTTTTGCTCACATGCATTTGTAGTGGATGTGTCACAATCCTGGGTCTTTTTACCCAGCGTTTTGAGTTTTTGTTTATTTTGATGTTTATGGTTTATGTTTAAGTTCATTGGGTTTTCTAAGGTAATTTGTTTATTAGTTTCCCCTTAAGTTTTCAACCCCTGTATTAAGTATCCCTTGTCCTTTATGTGTTTCATGTCTTCATGTCTTTTGTTGTCAAGTTCATGTTGTCACATCTGCGTTTCATTATGTTTCCTATTTTATTTTGAAGAGGTTCTGTGTTCCTGTGTTCTATGTGTTTAGATTTACGTTCCTGTGATGTCGTTATCCTCACTTGTTATAGCTGTTTCCCCATGTGTTTCCACTTCCCTCATTATCCTCCTGTGTGTATTTAGTCTGTGTGTTTTCAGTCATTTCTTGTCAGGTCGTCTGCTGTGTTCACGTCATGCATCCAGGTTTTTTCCATGTCTCCATGCCAGGTTTCATGTTGAAGGTTTTTTCATGCTTTAATCTTAGTTCACCCAGTTTAGTTTATTGTTTAGTTTCACCTTTGTCTTTTGTTTTGTACTTCTTTCCCAGCCTTAATAAACAGCTCGGTTTTGTTATTCCATGTCACGTTTCACATTCTATTTTGGTCTGCATTTGAGTCCTTTTTCGCAATACATACAGTCTGCCTCAGCCAGACTCTGACAGGATTGCTGGGTGCTAGAGTTAATTGTAGACTCTGGTTGTCTCAGTAACTCACCCCCTCATATCAGCAGTATTCTTAACACTTTGGTATTCACTTCCAACTATTATCTCAAGCCTGGACCCACCCACCTCTCACTGCTGAATTTCACAGAACTTTAATGGTTTCAAGTTTCCACATTACTTCTAGCTTTTTCCTGTTTAGACCCACCCCTAAAAGGCTTTGATAGTTACTGACTGATCTACTTAAGAGACACAGAGGAGACACCCACGAACAGTTCTAAAAACTCCTTATGGTCAGAAACTGCCTGATGTGTTCTAGGTAACACACCTGATTTTAGCCGCTGGACATACTCGCCCAGAACCCTGCGAACCTCCTGGACGCCGGAGGTCTTCATGAGGTCCAGGAGAGGTGTGTTGGGCTGGTCTTTACAGAGAGCCACGCAGATCTGGATAGCAACATAATTATCAATACACTCATCAGTGCAGTCATCACTGGGTTGCAGGGTATGTGATCAGAATCAGAAGTCAAACTCACATCCAGGTCGTCCTCGTCATTCTTGTCAGACAGGTTGGACACATCAATAGTTCCTCTGAACTTCACTCCCCTGCAGGACATCCCTGCACACAGAAAACAGTTGGCACTACAGAAAAAGAGCAACCCTATATTAAAATCCCCGCTGTACACGTGGCTAGAGATTCTGGCAGTCATAGTCAAATGTATTCCAAGGGCCAGAGCGGGTGACACTGAGTCAAAATGAAACCTTTCATATAAGGATAAGAGTAGATTTAGTAGTTATAATTAATATCATCAGCAAAGACTTCTGGTTTATAATAATGGCTTACACAGCAGTGGGGAAGAACTCTTCAGTATTATCTTTTTTCAATACCATGTGCCAACACAATGCAGAGCCACTGCTTGAACTCTACTCCCATAGAGATTGATTATCTTGTTTAAAGTGTTACCTGACTCTGAAAAAGAAAGACTGAAATCAAAAGCACTTGACTCCCTGGTATAAATGAATAATGTGCATTTTCAACCAGATAACCTGTGAGCTAAAGAGGAAATGGTGTCTTGCTGATTTAGAAGATCTTCATTTAGCCAGGAAAAATAGTTTGTTGCTCAATAAAAGTAAAGCTGGAACATCTGACTATTCAACACTCATAATGAAGATTCTTTACAGTTTTTCCCCAGTGACCATTGAAGGTAGGGTTAATGCTGATAATATTTCAAAATAACTGCTCAAACATGCTCCGAGAGTTATCATCATGATAGCTGCCACGTTGTGCGACGTGCTTCTAGAAGAACTTTGGCTGAAAGGTTTACTGCATGGGTCTCAAACCTAAATGAGCTATGGGCCACTGCTGGCACTGTCATCTTATTGGAGGGCCACTTCAGTGTTCAAGTAATACAAAACAAACAAATAAGAAAACACCCACAAATATTTTCTAAAATGTAGTGTTGTATTTTTAAATTTCAAATATTGTATAACAAGACAAAACGTTTTTTTCTCACTCTTAACTGAAGCCCTTCATTGAACCACCAAATAAACACACCAGTACTCTCTACCTGGCCAGACACATGGCAGCACTTCTACTATCATTTTGTTCATATTTAACAAATATGCAGACATAAGTGTACACATTAGTTTTTGACTCTCTCACTGAACTAACAGAGCCAATACCTCAGCATATTTGTACTCTCTGCTCATATTGCCTTCATATTAAATCATTTTTGGCTTTTTAAATAACTTATTTTAACAAAAAAAAAGTCACTTCAAGGATCAAACTGGCAATATACGGGGCAGCAAGTAGCCCCTGGGTTGTGAGTTTGAGACCCCATATCTACAGCATCTACGTGAAGGTTAAAGTCAGTCACATGAACCAAATTTAGATGGTCTCCCATGATGAATGGATGGACGACATCATCAGTGAGATCACTGACTCAGCCAGCTGAGTCTCAGCTGCCACTCGTAGAAGTAGAAGAGCTTCCCTTTGCGGTTATTGATGGAAGCTTCTCCCTCCAGCTTAGTGACTTCGGTCAGCTGGCAGACACCCTCAGGTCCCTCCACCTGCACACCGTGCAGCAACTGATGGAGGCACTCCGAGGACCAGGAGGACACATCTCGCTCTGTCCTGACCAGGGGAGAGAGGAGGGTCAGCGGGTACCAAATCACGCCCACCTCTGACATCACAGAGTTCAAAAATACCTCCAAACATGTGCTGAACCAGCTGCGGCTCACATAACACACACTGAAAGTCTAAAATAGCTCATCCTACAGTATCACATACACACTGAGATCATTCTGGAAATGTCCTCTTCTTACTCAGTCATGACATTCAGGCTGTTACCATGGAAATGAGGCCAGTGCCCTCAGTTACCTGCAGGAAGCCCCAAAGGTTACTCAAAAAGTAACTTTTGTTACTCAAAAGCTTGAATACACACATGAAGAGGGGCCTCAGCATGTCACATGACTGACCTTCTTGCGCGTTTTCTGTCACTGAGCTGAAGCAACTTCTATAGCAACAGCATTACCTGAATTCTGCCTTCATCAGTCTGTCTGTCTGCCACATGGACCAGTTTATATTTATTACAATAAATAAGTAGTAGTAATAATAATAGTAGTATGAGTACTGAAGTGATGGTAGCATTGATGAAGATGAACAGACCAGTGCCAGTTGTTGACGTTGGTGGCGTCAGCTCTCTCCTCTACTATCCATCGAGGGTCTCCTTCACCCCACTTAGCCATCACGATCGCTGATCAATACAGGGCCAATGAGACACTGCTGCTCACACTGCTAAAACCCTAAGCCTGATACCAGCTGAAACATGAAACGCCCACTTCCTCTTAGCACTGTCAAAGTAAAAGCACAGAGGACGTGGGACCCTGACAGTTACCTTGAGGCCAGCTGTGGGTCTTTGCTCCCAGATTGGGAACCAGCAGAGCTATACCTGCACGCTGCTCTCAGGTGATAATAACCTAAAGCCTCCCAGGTGGAAATAAATTAGCTGATGTCTGCAACCAATCTGTTGACAGTCACATCACTGATGCTGAATGTAACAGACCAATCAGATCCATTTTTAGAAGAACGACTCCTCTGGTTTATGTGATGTTTTATTTTCAGACTTTTAAGACAATCAAATTAAAAAGAACATCTGTCTGGTTTCCTGCTCCTTTAATCGAATTATTGATTAGAACAAAAATGGACTTCCTGGTGCAGCGTACTACAGCTCCCAGCAAACTTCGCGCAGCCGGAAGCATCCTCCGTCAAAGAGAAGGAGACGAAGAAGCAGGTGAAGGTAAAAAAACAAACAAACAAATAAACAGCTGATTGATTCTCATCGATTATCAGGTTTACAACCAGCGGTTTGTGCTTGATGTCTACAGATTAGACACCTGCGGAGTGACGTCACATTCCCACCGTTTGTCACTAAAAACACTAATATACGGATTTTTTATTTAGCTAGCTAATGCTAACATGCTAATAACAAACCTGCAGCTGTTACCAGAAAACGTGTCTGTAAAGGTTCTCAGTCATCCAGGTCATCGTAGTCTAAGGAGCTTGGAAAGAAAAGCATCTGGACTTATTTAAGTTGCTTGAAGACGTTTCACCTCTCATCCGATAAGCTTCTTCAGTTTGACCCTAGAACCGAAGAAGCTCCTCGGATAAGAGGTGAAATGTCTTCAAGCAACTTAAAGAAGTCCAGACGCTTTTCTTTCCGAGCTCGTTACTAGAAAACGCACACGTGCATAGCAGATGTAAGTCCGGGATCAGAGTGTGTTTGGACTGACAAGAAATCAGGTTTAGCCCGTCCAGAACCGCTCCAGGCTAACCAACACGGGCTACGGCAGACTGCAGCGCACTACAACTCCCAGCAACCCCGCGAAATTGTAGTGGTTCGGTGTGGGAACGAATCATAACTCACAATAATCTCTATTGAGAGCTTCAGTAGATTTTCTTAATGTACATGCTGTGATCAGCTGATCTGCTGCTCTTTATGGATGTATACACCTGAATTCAACAAGATGTGAGCCGATGTTTCCTGAGTTGTCCTAGCTGATTTCATCCTCTATACTGACAGTACACTGTTTATGCTGTCTTTATATTAGACACTATACAACCATCATCAACTGAAATTTATATGAATCTCTGCTACACTTGATGTAAGCTACCTGAAATGAAACCACAGCATCTGTGCACGTACCTTTACTGTATCCATCACAGTGCAGAAAACTAACCTGTTTATCTTTTTCTCTCCCTGTGAAATGCAGCTGGACCTTAAGCTGTAACACACTGTGAGACAAACTGCACACAAACAGTTTTTATGTTTGCTGATGCTTGTTGAGCTGATAGAAACGCTGCATTTCAAACTGCTTGACACTTAAAAAACGTTACTCCCTTTATGCTCGCTCCTCTTCAGCAGGGCTAGCTAGATGCTGAAGTACCACAAACACAATTCATGGACACCCCTGGCTATGACTATGAAGGTTCGCAGTGATATAAAATAATTACTCCCCTCAGATGTGTTAAAACTAAAGTAAGGAGCAGTTTTGAAAATATAAGGAGTAGATGACTGTGAGATGACCAGCCGGGAAGAACAGGCCGGGTTCCGACCCGGACGAGGCTGCAGCGACCAGATCTTCACCCTACGTCGACTCATGGAGGAACGGATCAGATGCGGACGCCGAACAGTCATCATCTTCATTGATTTCAAGTCTGCGTTTGATTGCATCGACCGGCCAGCCTTGTGGAGGGCTTTGGCAGCCGAACACATACCCGTGAAGATCATTGAGCTACTACAAACCGCCTACGATGGCTCGACCAGCCAGGTATGTATTCATGACGAAGTGTCCGAAGAATTCCCCATCATGACAGGGGTCCGGCAGGGCGATGTGGTGTCACCGCTATTGTTCAACATCGTCATCGATGCGATAATGCGCAAAGCATTTGAGGGCCGCCGCGGAGTCCAAGCCTCGACCGATCGATTTATCACCGATCTAATGTTTGCTGACGATACCGCCATTTTTGCCGAAGACGACACAGAGGCAACTCACATCCTCTATGACATCGCCCGGCACTCCAAACTGTACGGCCTCAAGGTTAACGCCGAGAAGACCAAAGTCCTGACCACCGACGGCTCACCAACGATCGTCCACCTCGACGGTGTGCAGATCAAACAAGTCCAACAATTTCAATATCTGGGGTCCCTCGTCGAGGAGAAGAAAGTGGCATCATCAGTGGAGATACGCTCCAGAATTGGGCAGGCGGGGGCAGCATTCGCTTCCCTGCGCTGGTGTGTCTGGAAGAAGAACAACATCTCATTGGCAACAAAGATCCGCCTTTACCGAACCCTGATCCTGCCCATTCTACTTTACGGCTCAGAGACGTGGACAATGTTCAAACACGACCTGAGCAAGCTCGAAGTTTTCCAAATGCGTTGCCTTAGATGCATTCTCGGCGTTTCCCTTCGCGACCGTCATTCGAATGACACCATCCTCACCAGCTGCGGCAGCCAACCAACGATCGGCGACCTAATCCAGCGCTGCCGACTCCGTTGGTTTGGCCACATTTGTCGAATGGACCCGAGCCGCTACCCCCATGACCTACTCTGGTTGACCCGCCCCACCGATTGGAGGGTGCATCGAAATGCACCAAAGAAGACATGGATGAAACAAATCCAGCATGATTTGAAGGCCCTTCGACTTGACCTCGAGCAGGCAAGAACCATCGCCTTAGATCGAAAAGCGTGGAAGATAATCGTTGGTCAAGCAAGAGAACCGGCGGCACCTACAACAGCGTACTGGTTGCGCGGCAGACCACCGCCGCTGGTCGCCCGCTAAGGACAAGAAGAAGAAGTAGAAAGTTCAGTTCAGATATTTGTATAAAATGTAGGGATAAAAGTAAAAAGTTGTAAAAAAAAAAAAAAAACTCAAGTAAAGTACAGATACCTGAAGATTCTGCTGAAGTATTTGTAATTCGTTACTTCCCACCTCTGGTCCCAGACTAGATAAATGTGGAGGGTTCAGGAAGGACATCCGGATCAGGCATGCAGGCCATAAAAAATCAGATTTCCATACTGGATCGGTCAGGCCCGGGTTAACAATGACTGACTCGGTGCTGCTGACCAACAGGTGCAAACTGGGCTACTATTGGCTATTACTACTGACTACTATTGAAGATGAAGGAAGAGGAGAGGGAGAATCAGAATACTTTAATAATCCCTAAGGAAATTATGTTGTTACAGTTGCTCCAAGACAATAACAGTAACAGACTAAACTAAATTAAATAATATAAGATATTACAATGTTTACAAAATAATAACGGGCAGCATGGTGGCACGGTGGTTAGCACTGTTGCTGCACAACAAGAAGGTCCTGAGTTTGGTTCCACCATCAGGCCAGGGTCTTTCTGTGTGGAGTTTGCGTGGTTTCCCTCCGGGTACTCCGGCTTCCTCCCACCATCCAAAGACATGCACTTTGTGGGGATAGGTTAATTGATTAATCCAAATTGCCTATAGGTGTGAATGTGGGACTGAATGTGAGCACGAATGGTTGTCTGTCTCTGTGTGTTAGCCCTGCGACAGACTGGCGACCTGTTGAGGGTGTACCCCGCCTCTCGCCCTATGACAGCTGGGATAGGCTCCAGCGCTCCCCGCGACCCTGAAAAGGATAAGCGGAAGCAAATGAATGGATGTTTACAAAATATAAGAAATAGCTCTAATGTATACAAATATATTTATAAATATCAAGAATATTAGAGACATGACCTATACATGATTGACATTTTACTCTGACCTGTGAAACGTTGTTATTTTACTGTACAGGGTGTGCAGAAGGGTGTAACTTCTGCATTGTGCATTAGATGGAGGAGTTGTACGGAGATATCCACAGGCAGGAATGATTTCCTGTGTCGTTCAGTGGTGCCTTATGGGTAATCGCAGTCTCTCACTGAGCGTGGTCCTGGGACTGGCCAGCACATCATGGAATGGGTGGGAGGTATTATCCAGCATTGTCCTTATCTTGGACAACATCCACCTCTCAGATACCACCCTAAGGCAGTCCAGCTCCATCCTCACAATATTACTGGACTTGGGGATCAGTTTATTTAGTCTGTTGGCGTCTGTGACCCTCAACCCAACAGCATGGGATGGCACTGGCGGCAACAGACTCATAGAACATCCTAAGCATTGTCCGACAGATGTTGAAAGACCTCAGAGACACGTCTGGCCCTTCCTGTTGAGTGCAGTGGTGTTTTTAACCCAGTCCAGTTTATTGTCTGTGTGTACTCCAAAGTATTTATAGTCCTCAACAAAGTCCACATCGACTCCCTGGATTGAAACAGGGGTCACAGGTTTCCTCATCCTCCTAAAGTCCAGGTCCTTCTGAGAGGGCATGTTAGGAATAGGAGGCAGCGAGACAGAAGGAAAGGCAGGAGTGTGTAGGTGAGAGTAGGACTCTAAGTGTTGGGACTGTGATGGGAAAGGGAAAGAGGGTAGATATACTATGAGAGACCAGCAAAGGCCAGGAGCAGTGGAGGTGGATTCTGCTGTACCTTGGTGTAGATAGAAAGAGAAAGAAAGCAGGGGTAATGTTGGAAGTAGAATATGTAAATAGGGTTGTGGCAGTAAGGAGAGTCTGAAAAAGGATCATGATTTTAAAGCTAAAAGTCAAAAGGTGTGGAGTGGTAGAGAGTGTTCCCACACGGTTAGCGTGGTGATTGGAGCAGACTTTAAAGGATATGTAGGTGAAAGGAACATCAGACAAATGCTTTTCTTTGTGCACTCGTGCTACAGTCAAAGCTGATTTCAGTTTGTGAGTGGGAAGAGAAAAATGGTGGCATGGTCTACAGCTGCTGAGGGGTGGGGATATGGACAGGCCTTTAGATTTGAATGCACAAAAGAACAAGAGCACGATGGTAAAGAGTAAACTACATTCAGGAAAGAAACAACTGCATTATTCTGTTAACACAACATCTAATAACATCTGCACTGAGAGCATGCTAACACAAAGCTAGCCAAGAGCGCAGAGTGATGTTAAAGCTGAGTTGTATGCAGACCCGAACCCAGCAGCCAGAGCCTAAACTTCATCATATAACAAAGACAGTAATGAGCAGTCAGGCTGCAGCGTCTGTTTCTACCTGTCCATGTGTGTGTACTGTAGAATCACCCTGGCAACCACTCTGCAGTGTGCTTTGGCTGATTTTTGGTTTTACTTTGTGTTTATGTGTAAAAATTGTATGCGTTTCCTCATTAGGATAGAGATCTGTGTCAGGTTTATACTGTTAAAAGTAAATGGGTGACAGTTGTTTCAGGTAATTTCTGGAATAATGAGAAAGTAATGTAACAAGTAGTGTAATAAATTACTTTCTTTAGCGAGTAATTAAGTAACATACTTTATGAAAAGTAATGAGTAATGTTTAACAGATTTTTTTTTTGACCAATAACATAATAGTGCTAATAATACACACTGAAAATGAAAAATATGAAAAGCTTAGCATATGCTGAGACGGTGTTTCTCACTGTGCGCCACTTCCTGACCTGTGATCTCATCACATGATCAATAAGCAGAAACAGAATGACATCATGTGATGCAGGCTGTGTCTTACCAGCTAATAGCTTCCTTCCTTTCTGTGTTGACAATTTAAATAAAGAGTCACTAACTCTTTATGTCCAGATGATTAAGAGTAAAGTTGACGAGGAAGACTACTGGCACAGCTCCAAGTTTAAAGCGTTCACCTTCGATGATGAAGATGATGAGTTAAGCAGGGTAAGAACTCCAGAACCAGAAGCCAGAGTGAATTGTTCTAGCCCTGCATGTGTATCATTGATTTGATGTGGCTGTCAGGTGTGATTTTTAGGTGTTGTTGTCTAACAGTTGAAGGAGTCTCGGCAGGCAGTAAACAATATACGGCGGCTGGTGGAGGAAGACGATGACGAAGATGATGTCGAGAGGGTCAGCTGGAGTGGCGAGCCAGTCGGCAGTAAGACCCCTACATTCTCCTCATTTGTCACTTCTTTGGAGAATGCTGAGATTTGATTGGTTATAGGGTGGTTACCTGTCATACTTGTGTCCACAGGTATTTCCTGGTCCGTTAAAGAGACAGCTGCCTCCAGTCAGAGGGCAGATAGAGAGCCTGCCTTCCCCAAAATTAGCACTGACACGCCATCGATCAGTAGGAGCCAATCGGGATACTCACTGAGCTCTCTATTCAAAGGTGATGACGGTCACATGACTCAGATAGACCGAAGCCTGATCATGTGATTCACTGCCGTTGTCATGTGATTCTGTGTAGGAAAACCTAAGGTAGGGAACTTCCAGACCTTCAGTGACGGTGAGTCCTCAGATGGCTCAGGTGGTGTTCTTATACTTTTACGATATTTCACCTAGTCAGGGTCATGTATATCAGGGTATATAAATGACTGGTGGTTGGATGAATATGAGATGATGTTGAATGGTGATTGGATGAATATGCAATGATGTTGGTTGGTGGTTGGATGAATATTGGATGGTATTTAAAGGTCAAATAATGGTTGTATAAATAGTGGATGATGATTAGATGGTGATGGATGATGTTTGGATAGTGATTGGTTGATGGTTCGATTAATAATGAATGCTGATTTGATGGCGCTTGGATAATGGCTGCGTGAATACTGGTTGACTAATGGTGGTTGGATGTTATTTGGTGGTTGCATGGTCATTAATGATGGTCAGATGATAGAGGATGTATGGTGGTTGGATGTCTCGCTCAGACTGACATTTGTTTTTTGGGGTTTTTAGCACTTACTGACTCCTCTGTCAGGCTCTACGCTCCTGAGCTCCGAAAACCAAAGTCTGAGTACAAGGTAAGATTACCCTGGTTAAATAGGGTGTTATATTTAGTAATCTAATTACTATGGGTGTGTAATATGGCTGTTCAAATATTGTGATAACTGTTAATCTCATTATAGTTATGCTTCAAAATCCAGTTGCTCTTGGGTATTCTGATTACCCATGAGTAATTCAATTATAATATCATTAACCTGATGTAAGTTGATGTGCACGACTAGTCGACTGGACAACTAATCTTCACTGTTGTCACTAGTCGGTAACAGACATATGAGTCATTTAACCTAGTTGTTTTACATTTGAATTAATCCCCACTGCTGGTAAATAGTTGTGTCCTAATCTTATGGAACCATCTGCCACCAGGTGAGAAACGCCAAAAATCAGCCTCATATTTTAGTCACCACTGTTATTTCTAGTTCTTTTAAAGGCAAAAGAATGAGATCACAGACAATCCTTAGCGATAGGGCAAGGAGTTCAGTTGTTTGGGAAGGGTTTAGGGTAGAGTCGATGCTTGTCCACATTTAAAGGAGCCAGTCGAGGTAGACACCAACTGGGTAAGGTAGTCCGACCAGGGATATCCTGCCAGGAGGAGGCCGCTGTGTACACCTGAGACATGGGTCATGTTTTGTAAACTCAAAACATGTTTTAAATAATTTGGATTCCTCAAAACAGCCACCCTTTGCTTTGATTACTGCTTTGCACACTCTTGGCATTCTTTCGAGGAGCTTCATGAGGTTGTCACCTGAAATGGCTTTCCAACAGTCTTAAAGGAGTTCCCAGAGATGCTGAGCACTTGTTGGCCCTTTTGCCTTTGATCTGCGGTCCATCTCATCCCAAACCATCTCCATTGAGTTTTTAGGTCATGGTAAATGGTAGATGGACAGATTCTTATATAGCGCTTTTATACTCTGTAAGGTTTTCTGAGTGATGAGAGGTGTGACGTGTAACTGTTTGCACAGACCATTTTTTGAAAAAACAATTATCGGATTCATGAAGCTGAACTTAAATCATGCATAAATGATTAGTATTTATTCAGGTTTGGATGTATGCGTTTGTAAAATAGTTATACTCTTGCTCAGATTGCTTCCGATTTTTGTGTGGATTGACGTACGTTACACACAAATCACTGCACACATCTGTAAATCTTAGTTTATGCTTTTGGGTCATGTCGTACGCATTTGCAACCCTTTTGTGGAAAATTCCTCTCCGTATTTAATCACCCCCCTCTTTTCTGGTCAGAATGAATTTTTAAACCAGCTTTGAATCAGGGCCATCCTGATACGCATGAGGAGGAGCTCACTGATGAGTCGGAAACAATATTTAGTGTTGATTATGTTCACAACGGAGAAAACTGCCTGGCTTTTGTGTGTGGAGCCAAACATGGTGACTTTCCTCACACCTGTGGAAGGTCAGCTCATGCAAATGGCTCTTTTGAGTCCACATCTGCTGGGAGATTGCATCTGCAGAGGCCCAGCATTCATCTGTTGCTCTATTTTCACTGTACACTTTTTGTTTTTGCACAGCATGTTTGTTATTGTTTCATGCCACCAGTCTCTCTTTATTCAGTTTTCAGACACAGTTGTCTGTGTTTCTCCTTTTCTTTTTTCTCCATCGCTGTCTTTTCACTGTCTTTTCATGTGTAACTAAGTCTCAGCTGTCAGATTTACCGCCTGGAGTATACAGAGTTCATTGGCTGAGTGGTATCACATGGGGTGGCTTAAGTTGCATCCAACTGGTCTGTGCATTTCTTTAGCCACTGAACCACTACCATAAAGACCAGAAAATGCTGGACCAGTTAAAACAGAAGCACCCTATCAGCTTTGAAAATTTTGCCTTCTGTTTTTACTGGAAGTCCGGTTCCGTATGGGACAGCTTGTGGGTGCGGCTCAGGACCCCAGTCCGCCTATTAGTGACCTCTGGCTTATGTTGACATTAAACGGTTCTCAAATTTAACTCCATATCCGTATTTCTTAGTTTTAGACCAGTGGCTTACTCTAATATTTTTCCCTCATTTAGTCGACTAAGAAATTAGTCACCATTGCTAATTTAATTACTCTGGGGTAATGTGATTACAGTTATGTAGTCCTGTGCTGTCATTTCTAATGGTGATATGGTTATTGTGATGTCAGGATTATGTCAGTGATTGGTCACCTGAAGAGACGGTTCAGAGACTTCAGCAAGGAAAGGTAACACACCTGTTCACCCAAGTCTGAGTATTTCTGCTCTGTATTAATATTGTAAATATTTGTACTGTGTGGCAGGCCGTGTCTCTGGAAAAATTCAGTGTGGTACTCTGAGCATCAGTACTCTGTAGTAGTAGTACTGTGATTATTTGTACTGCATTGTAGGCTGTGTCTCTGGAGAGGTTCCGCACACTGCAGGACAAACTGCTGCTGCTCGATCTCGCCATCGCCGCTCATGATGGAAACGTCATCACGGCTGTAACTTGATCTGATTCATAACGGCATCATTTAAACTTTATTAACCATCCCATCAGACACAACTGAGCATGCTCTGTTTATGTTTCAGGTTTTAATCTATCTAAAGAGGACGCTCTGTAAAGGTGAGTGTGGTCTTGATCCCGGTCCTGCTGGTTGATTGGTTCTCCCACTGACTCTGTTTTTGTTCTCAGAGGTTTTGTTTCGAGAGCTGGAGTCCAGGCAGACAGCTCTCAGACACTTCATCCACTACCTGAGTGAGACCCAAAACCAGAGGCTGCTGCTGGAGCTGCACAGGTTTGCTCACACCTACAAGTACACCTGTCCCTGCTGATTACTGCCCTCGTCTGTATGAAGCGTGATGCTGAACATGCTGCAGGTGTTCTTGTGACTGAGTGATGAGGTTCAGGTCAGCAGGTAGACATTCAGATGTGTCACAGGTATCTGGTGTACACCTGTACAGATAGAACTCTTTTGATGTGTTTGCTTTCTTCCTGTTCCTCAGAGCACTGGGCAGAGCTGAAGATGCGGCGGTATGTAGTACTCTGTAGCTATAAACACATCAACATTGATTCTTCTGGCGTTCATTGGGATGATGATGATGCCATTTCCTGTTTTCATGGCAACAGCTGCTTCAGTATAAGGAACACTTGAGCATCACAGATGAAAACAAAAGACGGGACTTCCTGAAGAACTGCCTTAGGTCAGTAATCTGATTACACTCAGGTAACTGTTAGTGTTTGTTGTTTACAGTTGTTTGTTCATTGTTTTCAGCCTCCCATTTTCTGCTGAGGACCTGGCCCATGTTCAGGATCACTACACTCTATTGGAAAGGCAGATCATCATCGAGGTCAGTAACCAGTTAATTAAGTTCATGACGAGGTTGAAGGTTTCTGATTGACTAGATCCAGTTTAATCACTGTTGTTGATAGGTGACAGACCGGCAGGCTGAGCGTGGAGGGAAGGTGGAAATTTTCCAGAAGTTTCCCAGAAAAGCTTTGATCCTCAACATGCCGCTGATCACCACGCTGTACTACTGCTGCTTCTACCACTACACTGAGCCAGAGGTCAGTCTGTTAGCCTGTGTTAGTTCCTGTTAGCCTGAATTAGTGTTAGCCCCTAGTAGCCTGCATTAGTGTTAGTCCCTCTTAGCCTGAGTTAGTGTTAGCCCCTGTTAGCCTGAGTTAGCAGTAACCTGCAACAGTGTTTATATTTCAGGGGACCTTCAGCAGTCCGTTAAATATCCGTCAGAACTTTAAGGTGAGAGCTGACTGGTTTGCTTTGACTTTTGACCTCTTTTGATCTGTTTGACTCACTGACCTGTGACCTCTGAACTCAGATCTCAGAAAAGCAGTACTTTGTGACAGCTTTGGCTGCAAGGGCGAAGCTGAAGGCATGGCTGGACGTGGACGCTCTGTTTGCCAGCAGGAATTGGCTCGGGTTCACCAGGAAGAAATCACCACTGAGCTTCCAGCGAGTTGTTGACATCCTACAGAAGAACTCCGCCCCCACACACGTGAGCTACTGTAACACACCTGGTGCAGAGGTAGTGAGAGACGTAGCCATCAGCTTGTTATTGATTTTTGATCATTGGTTATTGATTACTGTCAGGTGCTGCAGGACTACGTGGCACTCGTGGACGACGGAGAGTTGAGGCTCACTTTGGCTCAGAAACATAAATGTCACGACATCGTCATCAGTGTGAGTCTGCCAAATTTGATTTAGCTGCTTGTGGTGGAATTAAGGCACGACGGGTCCAAGGATCATAGTTTTGAGCCATTTTATTGAGCACTTCTCACCACAACAACCAACCCTTGAGTCCCCGTGTTTTAACACCGCAGGTGTGATCTGCAGATGCCGTGCAGGTGCGTCCGCACGGCACCACAGACCACGCCCCACCACACTGCTGCTTTAAAAATGACCAATCAGAGAACAATACTTTGTATGATGTCATGATGATGTTGTATCTCTGGGCAAATCAGACATACCGGGACATGAAGGACCGGCAGCTGCTGCTGGGATACCGTGGGAAGGTGGTGAGGGGCTCAGCAGAGGAGAGGAAGATTGATGACCTGCTCAGCAACCCGGTGAGGAGGGCTCCTTTGTGAACTATATAATAATAATGGATTGGATTTATATAGCGCTTTTCAAGGCACCCAAAGCGCTTTACAATGCCACTATTCATTCACTCTCGCATTCACACACCGGTGGAAGCAAGCTACGGTTGTAGCCACAGCTGCCCTGGGGCAGACTGACAGAAGCGAGGCTGCCATATTGCGCCATCGGCCCCTCTGGCCAACACCAGTAGGCGGTAGGGTAAAGTGTCTTGCCCAAGGACACAACGACCAGGACAGAGAGCCCGGGGATCGAACCGGCGACCTTCCGGTTACAGATACGCTTCCCAACCCCCTGAGCCACGGTCACCCCGATATCATGTGACTTGACATGTGACTAAACTATTTCTTCTTTTCTTTCAGCAAATTCGCTGGAAAAACTAACATGGCTGTCACCATGGCAACATGAATGTCCTTCCAGCCCATCTGTGGCTGTCTGAATCGATGTAGCTCTGCCTACATAGCCAGAAAGGGGGAGAGTCATGACTCTGATGTTCCTTTGAAAACAGGAAGTGACTGTATTGATGTGAGAAAGAGGGGGTGGAGTTATTTCTTCATGTTTCATCAGATAATTGGACACACCTCTGACATTAATTCTGACATCATCACGCCAAATAAAATAAAAACACAGATTGATGCTTCAGGACAGCACATGCTGGGATACGGATGCTGCTGCCATATTTGTCCGAGTATGTATGTGTGCTCTCAAATGTTCAGGTTGCCACCTCTCATAGACAGATCTGTCCTAAAGTGAACAGGTTTGAAGTTTCCCAAGTAAAACAAAAATCCAAAAGCTGTGATCAATCCCATGTTTCTGTTAACATGAAGAGCGGACTGATGTATTAAATATTCCTGTACTGTGTGAGAAAATAAATCATAACTTTTAATTAAGAGACATCAGAAACAGCTGATTTTTGCTTAATGGATTTTTTTTAACCTTTTATTTGTTCACAAACATAAAGTGCAAAATAAACACAAACATCCCCGAAACCCATCTCTCTGTTACAAACAGCCAATAAACATTTATATATCAATTATTGACTCTCCTCGTTTGTATAATTAATGACGATTTTTTTTTCATCACCACATGAGAGATTAAAGGTAAATAAACAGCAGCTTTGAAGAGCAAACATTCAGATATTTATCGGGTTTTCAGGCCAAACATCGATATTTTTCACTCCGCTGGCTCTGAATGTTGGCGCTTCCTTCTTATTTTACACGTGTTGTACAGGTTTGTGTTTACAGCCCCGTGCATTTTATGAGACTCCTCGTGCTGCCAGCAGGCGGCGCGCGGTCGCGGTTTCACGTCATTGAGGAGACTGAACGCGTGCAGGCTGGCGTTTATCGATGGTCTCTGATAACAGACGAAAACGATGAGACGGTTAGGAGTCACGTGACTCTGCGGGACGTCACTGAGCATCACTTCGTTAAGGAGCAGCACGAGGACAGACGCAAGCTTCACCTGAGGACAGCAGGCAGCGCGTGCAGGTACAGAGACATATACTTACTGCAAATACACTGTAGTGCTGCCAGGTTTATTAGACAGAGTACTTCATTCTGCTGTAATAGCATTAAAGTCACGTGGTGTACTTCAAATATTCTGAGTGTACTTTCAGTTCACGTAGTACTGCAGTATACATAGTACTGTACAGAGAGGTTACTGATGAAGAACCAGTATTATTGATCGAGTTATTAATCCAGTCGATCGATCAGCGGGACACACAGCTGATCGATCAACCGATCAGAAAATATTCGTTTAAAGTGAGTCAGTCGGTGATGAAGAGGAGGATGAGAACAAAGAGCATCAAATATTCACGCTGAACCTCAAGTGCAGCCTTGTCCCTGTGCTCTTTGTTCCTGTTTCTCTAGTGACTCTGAAACACGCCAAAGATAACGCAGTGTGACATAGAGCTGTCAGCAGAAGAAGAGGTCTGAGGCCTAAAATGAGTTTATTTTTTATTTTTTTTACTTCATTGATCTGCAACCGGTTTAGATTATTTTATTTGTTATTGTACAACAAAGTACACAGCTAAATTTACTGCAGTACTGCTTAAAGAAACAGTTCTTCTTGTAGTATATGTAAGAGTAATAACAGAAGATAGTTGATTGGTTAATGAAGTAACGATAACTGTAGTACTGAGTACTTGTGTATTTTTACTGCAGTAACAAATGAGTACTTTAATGTACACTTTAAACTTGCCGCGCACTTAGAGTACTAATAGTGCATTGTACACAGTACTTCTGCAGTACTCCTTTGAAGTACTGTTACAATGACTTTATGTGTGAACTGATGAGGGATCAGTATGGAGGTGAAGTTATCAATCGCCATTTCAAGTATGTATTCCTGTGTCAAGTGTGTAAAGGGGAGGAATCAGCTGAGACCTCTGATTGATTGATTCTGATTGCACATTTCAGACTCATTACATTCCCGGAGGAGGAAGAGGAGGATCATTTCAGGTAAACAGTCTTCTCTGAGTACATTGCACTCTGTGGAGTGCTCAGATTGAAACCACAGAAAAAGAAAGCTTACCTAGCCAGACCCAGAGATACGTGGTTTCCATGCACCGATGAGGTGAGGTTTCAGCATGACAGACGTGAGAACCATTATTGTGGCAGGGTTTCCTGCAGCAGTTTCCTGTGCAGGCTCACTTCAGACAGGAAGTCATCTCATAATCGTGATCGGTCAGCCTGATGACCAATCAATCAGGTGGTATAAAGGTCAGAGGAAGCTAACAGTGTCTGACTGTGCCCACAGGAAAGATTCAGGTCGCTGATGAACTCGCTGATGAGTTTATAAACGGCAAGCACAAAAAAACCCCTTTAAGACCCTTTAAGAACCCTTTAAGATTTAAAAAACAATGTGTGAACACCTAGAAACAGATTCAACCTCTGACCTCGGAGGAACTTTTCCTTTTTTTAATGAACATGAGCAAATCATGAAAATCTGCATACTTGAGGCTGAAGAGCATAAATAAATAGTCCCAGACCTGGATCTGGAACAGGTCGGCTCACCTTAAAGTGAATTCATTACCTCCTGATAACAGCTCAGTCCTGATACAAGTCCAGAAATCCCAAATTTACCTGCAGGCAGCTGGTGATCCAGCTTTCAGAATTTAGATGGTTAAAAGCTCATTTACGACACTGAAGGTTTTTGACTTTAGAAGGAAGGGGAAGTGAAATTTACTTTACAGTCTCAAATTCTTTCAGGGTTTAGTTTATTTTAATCTAATTTAACAGATTTCTGATCACCTGGTTTATCCTTGCTTTGCGGTGCTCACCAGTATGGCTTTAACTCTTTGTCACAGATTAGCCACTCAGCCTGCACTCGTCTGTGAGGGGAAAGTTCTTTTTATTCAAGTATGTAGTGATGAATAAATCAAGTTTCAGAATAAGAGTGTGGGTGAGATGTGAGAGCTCAGACCTTTTTTTAATGATCGAGCTGTTTTTGGCCTCATTTGGTGTTAAAATCATGCAGAAACCAAAAGTGTTCTTTATCCCCACTCTCTCCATTGAAGGTCATTATTCAGGGCTGTGCCAGGTGTTATATGAATTGTGCAGCCCACATACAGCAGGTGAAAACCTCCCCTCAGACCGCCGTTTGATTGACACCTTCAGGTGCTTTTTCAGCGTGACACTGATCAGAGCAGCTCTCGCTGCTGAGCATGCTCAGCTGGGTCGGATTCTGCTGCTGTCTCCATGGATCCTGTCTGACCTTCTTGTGTGATCCCATTCACTGTGCTTTAAGTTACGTTTTTATTTATGCTGATATTAGTATAAAGACTGATTGGCTGTATCTCTCTGCAGATGATTAGCCCTGGGCTCTGATTGGTTGTCTCTCCCCGCAGACATCATGCTGGCAGTCACCGAGATGGTGACCCAGACGACCAATCGAAGTGACCTGAACTGCACGCTGCCGCATGATGAGGGCCGCCTACCGCTGGTGCTGCTGTACAGCGCCGTGCTGCTGGTCGGTCTGCCCGCCAACCTGTTGACAGTCCTCCTCACGGGGTTGCAGGTGCGCAGGAAGAATGTGCTGGGCGTGTACCTGTGCAGCCTGTCGGTCTGTGACCTCACCTACCTGGGGACGCTGCCGCTGTGGACGATCTACGTGAACAGTGGTCACAGGTGGCCATGGTCGTCAGCGTTCTGCAAGCTGACGGGCTACATCTTCTTCAACAACATGTACATCAGCATCTTCCTGCTCTGCTGTATCTCCTTTGACCGGTGCGTCGCCGTTGTCTACAGCCTGGAGTCCCGTGGCCTGCGACGGCAACGCCACGCCGCCTTTGTTGTTCTCGCTATCATCCTGGTGGTGGCCATCGGGCACGCCCCTGTCTTCACCATGAAGGAGGGCGCCACAGAGGGTTCGCATCACTGCTTTGAGCCGAGTCAGAGCAGTGCGATGGTGACAGGCTTCTACTACGCTCGCTTCGTCATCGGATTCCTGCTCCCACTGCTGTTGCTGGTGGTCACCAACCGCGGCATCCTGGCTAATGTGCAGCGCAGCACAGGGCTGCAGTTGGCACAAAAACGCCGTGTCCGGCAGTTGGCCGTGGGTGTGGTGGTTCTGTTCCTGGTGTGCTTTGCCCCATACCACGTCATCCTACTGGTCCGAGGCGTCATCTTCCACTTCCCGTGGCTTGACAACTGCTCGTTTCAAAAGGCCATGTACACACCCTACACCATATCGCTGGGCCTGTCCACCATCAACAGCGCTGTCAACCCAATCCTGTATGTCTTGTCAAGCAACAACATTCGAAAGGATCTACGGCGAGGACTTGCACAGGTCTGTGGCAGGGTGCTGGTGAGAACTCCGTCCAACACCAGCCAGAACAAAATCCAGCCGATCAACAACTCTTTAGAGCTCAACACAGGCAGTGAGAGGCTGGCAGCAGGAAAACCACCTGGGACCTGAGGTAGCGGTTCCACAACACTGCAGTGTCCTGCAGCGTCCTGCAGTGACCGCAGAGGGCCAGGACCAAGAACTGGGGGACTTTGAGTGCTACGCATGCACAGAAAAACAAAAACAGAAATGTTTGGAACAAGAACTTTAGAGACAGAAGTTAGAGTAACGAAGGTGACACAAACACGAGGATTTGAATAAGGCCTGAGAGACGTTGATCTGTGATGTTGCAGTGATCTGTGTGCACTGCTGTGTTGCACACTGTCAGCCTCCCTGCTGCCACGTGTTAGACTGAAACAGCAGCATCGTACCTGATGGCCGAACACCTAGTGCGTGGCCACTCCCGCAGACACAGAAACATGTAACTGCATCTCAAACATTCACACCTGCAGGGAACTAGCAGGCCAATCAGAGCTCACAGAGACAATGTGACTCAGTTGTCGCTGATATCTGATTATTGATCACATATCTGTGTACTAATAAACTCATTTTTATTCCCATTTCACCTGGTCAGGTGTTCAGAAGGTTCACGGTTCACGGTTCACCTGCCGGGTTCCATCAGAAACAACTTTTGTGTGCACTGAAGAGCTGTTCATGTCCTTTCTGTTGTTGAGGGGACACTTTTTACTGTAGCACTTCAACCGGACAGACAGGTGACCTCAGATTATTGTTTTCTCTGAACCGTAGCTACATCACACACCTGGTCTCACAGTTTTTAAACTGTATTCAGTGACTGGCTAATGTCTTCTGTCATCATTAAAAAATGTAAATTTTTCATGTTCACCCATGTGGACTTTTTTAAAGCAATTTGAATTAAATGTAACCGTGATCAGTTTCCAGTAGCAGGACACAGACAGAAATTTGCATAGTAAAGAAATTAGAATATAAAAAAAAGGGGGAAAGAGAATGCGAATAGAAGCATAAGGATAAATATAGCATATATACACATATATAAATACAGAATATATAAATAAATAACCATCGTATGATCACGTGACCTAAACCACCTCCATTTCCTCAATCAGATAACGAGAGTATCAGAGAGCCTGGAGAATAATAACCCAATGCTGGAAGCATAAAACTACAACACCCAGAAGACGGACTACAAAATGCTGACATTACAGAGGTGTTTTTTTTTTAAGAACAACTTTATTTATACTGAACACATGTCAGCTTCCACGCTAGGAAAGGTTTACAGAGTGCAACATTAAAACACATTAACATTAACAGAACCACATTAGAAATGAATAAAGATAATAAAAACAGAAAGCTGTGAGACCCACTGAAGGCTCCACCCACCCTGACCTCTGACAACTAAGAGAGTGAACAGTATTGTGTCCAAAAAGGAAGCTCAGATAAACAGAATTATAAGCTTCAGGTGCGTCAGGCATTTATCAACAAATCTGAGTTGCTGATAGCTTTTTTCTTTTTTAATCTGATAGAGTGCTACTATGAATTATGGGATGGAATTGTCTCATCATCATCACCTCTCCACTGATTGGCTGCGATCACCCACAAACTAACTAAAAATAAAATGGAATCACTTCCTGTTTAATCTGATGGCTGGTGACAGTGAAGTTTATTTTATAGTTTTAATATTCAGGAACTTTATTTTCTGTCACATTGAGACTTTTCAGGGTCACAGATAAGGTGAGAGTGGATGGCAAGGTGGATGTGCCTTACATCAGTGATCACAAAGATAATTCTATAAAGAACTCAACAAAAAGCATGAGAGAGGGTTCATCAAGAGGTGAACACACAGGAAGTTGACTGTCTGTGGTTAACACTGTGCATGTGCATGGAGGCGTTTGAGTGGAAACAGGAAGCCGCAGAGAGTGTGAGACTGCAGAAGAGAAGAAGTCCCAAAAAAATTCAGCAGGTGTGTGAGCAGCTGCTCCTGCCAGACAGAGTTGAGAGGAAAAAAAGGACTATTTAAACCATAGAGTGAGGCTCACCTGAGACGCACCTATGTGCCGTCCGCAGGTGATTCAGCTTTTTATTTGTAAACGTCCAGTAAACTCAAACTTTGTGACGTGAATAAACAGATGTGACGCCAGAGGCGGGCTCGAGCTCCAGGTTCATCACGCCATTGTAAAGGGAGCAGCATGAATCAGAGCAGCAGGAAGTCCGACCCGATTCCTGCTCTGCTGTGATTGGGTCTGTTGTTGCACTTCTGCCTCTGAGACGCTCTGATTGGCCGAGCTCCTGGAAGGCAAATGCTCAGCCTCATTAATGTTTAAGCAGCCTGTCAGACAGCACCCAGGGGAAATGAATCATTGAAGCTGACCTGAATAAGAACAGCAGGACCCATGGAGCAATTAACCAGAGTCAGAATTAACAGGAAGGTGGAGCTTTTTGGCTGATGCTCCTGTTGATCAGGCCAATCACCTGTCTGTAAACACATACCTGAGATCTACTCTTTAAATGTAGTCAGTTTGGCCCGAACCTGCTTGGACAGAACAGAACCTGCTGGTTATGTCCAAATCCCGGAATCAGGCCAATCACCTGTTTGTAAACACATACCTGAGAACTCTGTTTCCATGGTAACTCACTATGTTGCTTGTTGATCCCTCTAAGAAAGAACTGCATACACACGTGTGCAGGTTTGCCTTTAATGACTTTGGTTTTATTTTGTATCAGAGGTGTCAAGCTCATGCTTGACACCACTGACGCCAGAGTTGGCCAACACGCCAGAGTTGGCCCACTGTCTAGAGCTGATTGGACATTTGGTGGCTCGATCCCATGACGAGATACTAATGCTGAGTTGCTCTCTGACACATCCATCGGAGCATGAGCGTTCCAAAGCACTGAAGCATACAGAAGGTGTTTGAATTAAAGCATTCATTTTGACAGCACTAAAGCAGATTAGGCAGTCATCACGATTAACGTGATTAAAAAAAAATTAACGCTATTAATGGATCTGGAGTGCAGAAGGACTCAAAATCCCTGAAATGTTTCTGTCAGTCGGGCAGTTTGTCCAAGTAGAGTTACCTTCGCACATGCACAAATGGGCAGTAGATCTAGTAGTGACAGGCAGCTGAACCAATCAACTCAATTTGGAAGATGATAAATACACATTGGCCCTCTTGATGGGAAATTTGAGTATTAAAACAACAAGAGTTGACCGGCAAAGTATTATGCACATTGTGCAAGAAGGAATTTTCTTTTCACCAAGCTTAAAATATCACATTGATATGAAGCATACGTTAGCCGGGCATGCTGCTAAGACTTTGGCTAATGCGTCACCCAGCTTGCGACAAATCACTCACGGAGCATCAGGGGGCTCAGTAAGTCTACCTCGGAAATAATGACTGACACAATTGCCAAGTAGATTGCAACAAACTGCAGACCTATTAATATTGTTGAGAACATGCGCTTTACATAGCTTTGGTTCCTCATCTCAAGAATGACAGAGAGAGAGTGGATAAATGTTTACAGAGTTTTTTGTTAACATAAATGTTCAATAAACATGTTAAGTGTGTATATTCCCCCCAGCACAAAAAAAAAAAAAAAAAAAATTATATA